CATTAAGTAAACTCTTGGGTTCATGTGAGTTGATGGAGAAACAGCTGAGGTTAGTGTAACAGCTGCCATGATGTGGGAGTGGTGTGTTCTAACTATTCTCTACAATGGGCCTGGTATTTCACAGTTAATGAATGCTTTCCACACCCCTTGATGGCGAAGTATCCACAGTCCCTACTCAATAACTATTTTATGAGTAATATGTGAATAAGTAGACTATAGATAAACTGGGTCTTGGGTCAGCTTTAACTGTCACACTGGGAAGAGTAATGTACTCCAGCGAAAGGGGTGAAATAAAGACTGTGTACGTATCTCCTGAACACCTGGACTGGTATGGTGCTCACATCTGGGGAAACCACCTCCCTTTTTGTTGTCATCTAGTAGATGTGGCAGAAATGGAGATTTTTGGATTCTGGCTGTACCATCTGTAGATGAGTAAATACAATGAGACAGGAGGCTATATAGTAGCACTATAAAAGATGGCCACTTGTCACTAATTTCTTCCCTTGACAGAGAGAACATCCCAGTTTCTAAATTCTGAGGGAAGGTTAAAAGAATAGATGATCTTAAGCTATGAACCATGTTAGCTCTAGAAATTGCCATAACTGGTATTGGGGATAAAAGGTAGAGAGCTGTGTATTACAAACACCTATGGCAAAACAAAGTTGAAAACATTCTAAATGAAATTGAGTAATACTATGTGCTTCATCATTTTGTAAACAAATCCATTGTGATCAGCAAAGTGACGTACAGCTTTCTGCAGAATGAAAGATGGCTCTTTCTGGCAGTGTGCTGCTACTGCTGCACTTCACAGATTAAGGTAGCATCCTGGCAAGAAACAATTGCTGTGTAGACTTTTATTACTTAAGTAAGTTGCATTAAAATCAAATATAAATCTGTCTTCTGATCATGTCAAGTTTGACATATTTTGAAAGAAAGGACAGCCTACTCTGAAGTCTTTTGTTGGTTAACCTGACCTGTGGCTTCTAGTTGACACCATCACCTTCATTCTCTCGTTCCCACCCTTACGCTTTTAATCAATTTATTTAATTTGCTTAAACATTTTCAGGTTGTTGCTGAAGTAAAGAGTAAATTTAATGAAGCAGTTGAATAGCTTACTGTTCCACTTTGTAATGAGGAAACAACATGCTACAGGAATCAGTACATGTTACCCTGACATGGGTTACTGTGAACCCCCAAGAAAGCTTTTGGTTAACTGAAAGGCATGGCAATATTTTGCCTATATTGGACAAACTTCTGGTCACTGCTGGCTTCTCTTAATTCACTCTTTTTCTCAGCAGTTTTCCTGTTTCATGGGTCTCATTCCCAAGAATTAAATTGTGAGCCACTCAGCATTTGGCTTGTGACACAGCATCACTAGTTCATTCTCTGAATCTTCATAGTCTTGAAATTCTTTATGGATAAATCACTCTTAGAATGAATATCGAATGATATTCAATATGGCTATACTAAGCCAGATAAAATAATGTACACCATCTCTTTTCTCTGGCGTGTCAAACAGCTCATCAGTATATTTCAGTATGGCACAGTAGGCCGATGGGCTGGCTATATGAAGACAGAGAGGGTTAAAGAACGAAAACAAAACCAGGGTGGGAGTGGACAAGATTTGTGAGGCTAGTATTTATCTTATAAATGCCCATTCATTTTAAAAAACAATGAAGACGAATGTTTAGAGAAAGTTCTTTCTATCTATGCTAAATGATTGAATAAATATTGGTGTTGGCTTTTAGGAAATACTTCATCATATGCAGTAATAACAGCTGCTTCAAGTTAACAGTAATATGTCAATGAAGATTTTATATATACTTTGGAATCTTTTGGCATCAGCTGCTGTAGCTTCAGTCCTGATAGTTAAATCTTACCACTGTGTGAGCATTTTTACAGAGAGAGAGAATACAGGCAGTCCCCGAGTTAGGTACAAGATAGCAACTGTAGGTTTGTTCTTAAGTTGAATTGGTATGTAAGTCGGAACTGGCGTCCGGATTCAGCCGCTGTTGAAACTGACCAGCAGCGGCTGAATTGGACACTCCTGGGGCAGAGCAGCTGGGACCTCAGCACTGCGGGGACCAACTTGGCAGCACCCCAGCTGCTCTACCCCAGGCGTCCCCAAGTCAGCCGCTGCTGAAACTGACCAGCGCTGACTACAGGAAGCCCGAGGCAGAGGTGCTCTGCCCCAGGCCTCCTGGAATCAGCCGCTGATCAGTTTCAGCAGC